TCAGTCGGTAACGGGCGCGCCGGGAGGCTGCGGTGCAGGGCTGGCTCAGCGACGCGCGCGCCGGGGCTCTCCGCAGCCCGGCTCGCCGGGGCCCCGCTCCGCGCTCTTCCAACACACCCCGCTCTGCGGTGGCCCCGGGATAAACTCTGTAAGCCCCCCAATCGGAGCAGAAAATGGGTCTGCTTAAAGTTCAAGGTCGGGCGCTATCTACTATTACCTAGTCCACCCACCGCAGAGCGCGTTTAAAGGCTAAGTAAATTTTCATCGTTGCAGAATTAAGGCCGGCTTCTTACAGCGACTTTGGCTTCCACTCTAAATATTAGCAGAATCCAGAGCGGGGTAATTAAAAAAAAAAAAAAAAAAAAGAGCACCCTCGCCCCACGATTTTACTTAAGCATAGTGTTTTTAAACCCTCTTCTGCAATATTAAAAGGTTTTGCACCACAAAAATCTCCGTGGCTAAACTCTCGCCCCGCGCGTGTAGCGGGGCCGCGGCCGGCCCGCGCTGCCGCTTTGTCCGCCCGTGCGGCCCCTAAAGAGCGCGACCTCGCGCAGAATTTAACCACCTCAATCGCGGGTCTTTTGGACAATCCGATCACATTAGCCGAAGGAGCTCCAAAGCCGTAAAAACCTCCAGAAGGTTCTCGGTTGAGTGCCTACTAATGAACAGAGGTTAACTTTATCTAAGAGGTCAAATGCCTGGTGGCTAAGGTTGTGACCTTAACAACTTAAACGGTGACCTTGCCACGTGCCTCCTATATTGTAGGTTCTGATACAGATCATCTGGTAAAGGGCCGGCCGTAAATTAGCTTTACTGTTAGCCTCCCACAAAGAAAACGCTTCGCCACCACGGTTTTTCCAAGTTGTCACTCGATACGAGCACGGAATAAGGGAAAGCTAAAGAGCAAGCCCAAGTTTCGGGGTATGGGAACGCCGCCTGCTTTGAGTTAAGCAGATTATAAGCTGCAAATTGAGAGCAATCCGCCAAATTTCAAGGCTTTTTTGTTGGGGAGGGTGGGGGGCAATTCCTGATTTGGAAAACATGGATGTTCTTTTCCTTCCTTTTATTTTTTATTTTCATTTTTAGAGGAAAAAAAAAACAAACCAAAAAAAAATAAAAATGACACATAGTTGGTGCATCTGCCTCTTTTTGTTTGCTTTTTTTCTAGCCGTCTCTTGAAGGGAGTGATGGTTTGGGTGGCTTTGCGGGAAGCAGCGTTGCGAGCGGTGCACGTGCGCCCGGCTACGCAAGGGGCAGGGACGGGGCCGCGCTCCTGCGCTCGCAGGAGAAGCAGCCTCTCGCAGGGCGTCTTGGAAGAGAGAAATCCCTCCCCAAAAAATAAAGGAAAGTGGGGAAAAAAAATGGGAAAAAAAAAAAAAACAGCAAAGCGAGCATGGCGGGTGAAAAGGTCGCGATGGTTTTGGCACGTCCCTTGGAGCACGTTTCGGAGTCTGCGCCTCCTGCCAACACTGGCAACTTCTCAAAACTTTTAAGGAGGTAAAAACATTGTTTGGTGTTTGCAAATCCTCCGTCCCGCGGCAGATGCTTCCCCGGCTTGGCCAACGCTCGGTGCCACGGAGCCTGCCGGGACGCGGCGGGGAAAGGAGAGAAAGGGAGAAAACGCACAAAAGAAGGGGGGAAAACTAGAAAAAAGCCAAGCAGACGGCACCCGCCATGCTCCCCGTGTGGAGCCCGCTCTCGAGGCCACCGCTGGCCTGGCAGGCCCGTGCGTCCCTCCTTCCGCATCTGCGGTCCGGGGGAAAATCGGGGCCTTTGCCGCACTCCTGGCTCCCATTTTTGCCGCTTTTCTCCCCATTCTGATGTGTAGAGTGAGAGCATCGCTTCCTCCTAGCAAGCTCCACGCTTTGCTTGATTTTCACTCATTCTGAAAGGCAATACTCCTATTTATCGGCACGGCGCTAGAACTCCAAATAACGTAAGAAAAAGCAGCGTGCTGTGCAGCCGGACCCGTCCATTTTCCAGACGTTTATACGGAGCAGGTGACCCTGCTGCCTGAAACAGGGGGGGAAACTGAGGCAGGATGCGGGGACGAGCGGTCCGGGCCGGCCCTCGGCCCGCTCCGCGTAGCCGTAAATCGGTAATCCTCGCCCCGCCGTGCCACGTAATAAATCGCAGAGTAAATAAAGCGCTTTCCGCAATATTTGCCCACATTCCCTCCGCCAGAAATGTGCAATATGATTTACCGCATCACACCCAATTGCAAAGTAAATTTCCCGGCTTATCTAGCTAAAATACCACAACGGTATCCGAAAGCCTTTTCTAAACACAGACTGTATCAATAAAATTACAGCGGTGGCACCGTGCGTCGCAATAAAACACGCCACGGGTGCAGCGCCGAAAACTTGGAGATTGTCAACGCTCGCACCAAAACCCGGCCGGAACGCGGGCTCGCAGGCCAGGATTTGCTAAGGTTTCTGGCGTGGCTGCAGAAATCGGGTTTTCTCGCCCGCGATCCCTCCGTGGTCCCTGTGCTCCTCTGCTTTTCCACCTTGTGCAAGCCCTGGCGTTGCAAGCGGGACCTCGTGCCGCCCGCGCGGGTGCTCCCCGCACGCTCTCCCTTCCACTCGGCCGCCCCGAAGCGATACAATAGTGCATTATTTTAGCCAGGCGGCCTATTACGTATCCTTGGCGTATCCTGCACATTAATACCCACAGGCTGGGGGGCCTTTGCGCTGGAGTCAGAGATCTCGAGACTTCCAATTTCAGCACATAAAAAAAAAAAAAACCCACACATTTTTACCCACCCCACACCTCCAATAAGCACAGTTTTATCAAACGAGGAATTGGCTTGAGTTCTGTGTGGATAAATGGGGGCGTTTAGGGTTTTCTGTCAACGTTGGCCCCTTCCTTTCCTCAACGCGCCTGCACAGATCCTCCCTTTGGCAGCTTTGAGCATGCGGCTGCAACGTGTGCCCATCGTGGGACGCCGTTTCCCTTTGCTCCAGGCCCCATCCCGCACGCTCCCGCTCCCGGGACATCGAGGGGAGGGAGGATATTGGGTTTTCCCAGCAGCCGGGCCTGAAACCTTGGCTATGCCGAGCTCCCTCACACTAATCGGTGCATGAGAGACACAGAATCTACTAAAAATATATATATGTGTGTACTGATGCGTGTGCATATTTGTGTGTATATATATATTAATTTTATATATATATATAAATAATTAAGAGGAGTCTCACTGTACTAAGGCTTGGCTACCTCCTGTGCAAATATCCGGGTATCAAAAGGCTGCCCCGAGCCCCCACTTTCCTTTAACCCTGGGGAAAATAAACGGACTTTTAACCGCGGCGGCCACGCGCGCCCTCCCGGCTCCGGCCGCCGGCTCGGCGGGAAGAACCCCGATCCCAGAGACGAACAGAAAGATGGAGAAACGGTGGAGAAAGGCACTTACCTGCGGCGTGCACAAAGTATGCCAAATATAAATCGAGTTCCTTAACAGAAACTCCTATATGGTGCGGCTGTACGCACAGCCCGGGGTTAGAGCACTGTGGGGACTTTACAAGGCGCTCGCCATCAGTACTTTCGAGCGGAATACCTTTAAATAAAATCACCATAACAAGGTCCAACCTCCAGACCTTGTCTGCCTGGCGGAGGCAGTCAATTCTTCTCATCTTGCCCTTCTGGTCTGGATTGGAAAGAACGCAACACGGAGGCTTTTTTCCTGTGACTGTGAGAACAAAATCCTCCCGAAACTCAGGCCTGATATCTTTCCGCAGCTTGGCCAGAAGTCTGGACGCCCATTTTTGCTTTACCTCGGGTTTTTCACTTAGCAGTTCGTCCTTCACGGCTCTCTCTTCCTCTTTTGACATGCGTTTCTCATGTTTTTTGAAGTATTTTCGTTTTCGGGCTTGCAGGTTGAACCATGTGTAGGCAAACGCTCGGACGTGAGGCAGAAGTGCTTCGATGAAGGGATGAAATTCATCCTGCAAAAAAGGCACAGAGAGCGGTTGGTGTCACTGAAAGCACCACTTGAGCACAGGCCCGGCCGTGAAACTGGGGCAAAAAGCGGGAGAATTGGGCACTCAAAGGCGCCTGCCCACCCTGCGCCCGCCCCGGCCAAGCACCGATGTGTAAAACAGGGAGATTTTGCAACCGTTGGGCCTTTCTGCAAAACTTCTGGTTTATTGTTTTTGTAAGAGCAGAAGAAGGAGTTAAGCGGCCGAGCGCGGGCCTGGCCGCTGGCTCCCGACCCCGCCGCCAATTTGGCAGAGCAGCGCTTTTTTTTGGCAGGGGAGAGCTCCTCCGGGACGCCCGGCCACCACCAAGGCGGAAAGCAGCAGAAAATGCAAATCTCACAAGTTTGTTTTGTTTTATTAGAGGTTGGTTTATATTTAGTTAATTTTTTTTGGATGGGATATTTGGAAGCGTGATATGGCGAGACGCGCTGGGCCTTTCTGTCAAGCAGCAGGACAAAGCGGTGGCCGCGGACTTTAGCGCACCTTGCGCAAACACGTGAAAAATAACTTTTTTTGCTTTTTTCCCTATATTGTGCCACATCCCAGAGCGTGCGAAAAGCGACGGCAGCCTCGGCGAGGCGGCCTGGCCAGGCAGGGACCCGCGCGCTTTGTCTCGCGGCGCTTTGAGCTTGCCCCTCCGCTCCGAGATGAAAATAACCGCTCCGGCACGACAACATAAAACAGAATAAAATAAAGGAAATGCAAGCAGGACAGCCAGTATTGTGGGGAAAATGAAATTAAGATATAGACTGAGAAGGAGTTGCTTGAGCACAAGGGCCAGGCTGCCTCTGCCGAAATGAATGACGGAGGAGCCGGCGTCGAACGGGTCTCCTGCCTGGGTGCCTCTGGCTCTGGGATTGGGCCCTCCAGGAGGGAAAAATAACAGAAACTTAATATATACGGGCAGCCCGGGGCCGCGGCGCGCTGGCAGCCGCCCCGCCAGCGCTCTGGGCATTGCCCCTCGCAGGACGGTGCCGCCGCGGGCGCCCTGCGGACCTGCCTCTGCAAACGCCGCCTTGCCCCTCGCCCGGGGCGGGACGGGAATCTCATCTTCTGTTCCAAAAAATGAGAGGAAAATTGGGAAATCAATAACTGAAGTCCCTATCAGTGAAAGCCTGTCGTAACTCCAGCCCGTGCACTGACTTCCCCAAAGGTTTGATTTTACTTATTCTGAGTGGTTCTTAAAACGTAAACACGATGATTTATAGCTAATATTATAGCACGCATTTTTATTTTAAACGCAGATTGTTAGAAACGACCCAAAAATGACATATTACACATCGTTACGGCACAGCAGAGTGGCAGCAAGCAAAAGCACGGCTGATTATTAAAATACAAACACATAAAATAAATCACTCCCGTGATTGACACATTCCCTTTTCTTTTCCCCCTTTTCCTCTAGACCATAGTTTCAAATTTCAGCAAAGTTTTTTAAAAAGGCAAAAAGTCAGAGGGAAGATTGCTGCCCGCTTGCAGCCGGGGGATGCACGCAGCGAGGGACGGCCGGGGCAGAGCGCACGCAGCTCCTGCCAAAACGGAAAACGGCTTTTGGTGGGGGGGAATAAAAGGGAAAGACAAAAATTGCAGGTCGCTGCAAGCTATTAAAAATTAGGAAAGTGCGCGTGTGATCCCCGGCGTCCTGACCCTTCGCCCTGCGAAGGAGCGAGGAGAAAAGGCCTTTTGTGGCAGCGAAGTTGATGCGCGAAGGTGCCCGCGCGGGCGGCC